GAACCTCTTTGACACCTGAAAGTCTTGAAATAGCCCCTCAACTCATCAGAACATTTCAGACTCACAAGTCAAACCGACCAACAAACACAGAGAAAGCTCTCTCCAAAAAAACAAGATGAGCGACCACAGCGAATCTTCACACGAGTCAAGCTCCGTGTTTGATAAGCTCCGTCAGGAGGGAGACTTTTGTGATGCAGTCATAAAAGTCAAGGATGCTGAATTTCAAGTCCACAAGGTCGTCCTGTGTAATTGCAGCCCGTATTTCCTGTGAGTATCTGATAAAAAAATATATATACAGCAGTCACAGTAATGAATTAATTTGATTTATGGAGCATTTGTGATAAAACAAGTTTGACATAAAGAAGAGAACATACAGAAATTATTTTAAAGGATAGTTAAAAACTCAAAAGTTAACTAATGGTGCGCATTTCTAGTCTTCACAAAGTCAGTGTAGTTTCAGTTTACAGTTCAACTGAAGGTTCTCATTGCCAATCAGATGTTTACAACTAAAAATCGTCAGCGTTCTTCTACTTTATACTAAAAAAAAAAGAACATTTTCACATGATGTGTTAGTTATTCAACTGATTTTATGACTTAAGATACAACTTGGGTGAGCAAAGTTGCAACAAGACCCTAAATGATTCCAGACTATTATAATGTTTGTGCCTTAGGTGTGTAATTTAGTGCACTGAGTTCATCTGATCTGATATTTCACTCACATTTTTTTTTATTGGTATCAGTGTAAAGATGAGAAGAAAAAGCTAAATACAGCTTATTTTCAATCCTCTTCTGTCTTCATCCTGTCCCACAGAGCTCTCTTCAGACGCTGGGCAACTCCAGACCAAAAGGTCTTTGACATATCGGGCGTGTCTCCTGACATGATGCAGCTCGTCATCGAGTTTGCGTACACTGGCTCTGTTTCTGTGATGGAGGACAACGTACAGGAGCTGATGCTGGCAGCCGATCAGCTCAACATAATGGCCGTTGTGCAAACTTGCTGCGACTTCTTGGGAGAGCGGCTTTGCACGCAGAACTGCATTGGCATCTTTCAGTTCACCTTCATCTGCTTCCACCCCAGACTGCGGGCCAAGGCCTACCACTTCATCATTGATCACTTTGAGGAGGTTGTTTTCACTCAAGAGTTCCTGCAGCTCTCTGTGCAGGAACTCACTGACCTCCTTGAAAGACAGGACATCAATGTGAGAAAAGAAAGCACTGTGTTTGAGGCCGTCCTTCGCTGGATCGCCCACATGCCTGAAGAGCGAAACAGTCACATCGCTGTGCTCCTGTCTAAGGTATGACACCTGTCTGTCACTACATATATTTTAATTTACATCTTTAGCATTTGGCTGATGGTGTTTTCCTGACTGCAACAATAATGAAAACTGTAAGGTCATTTTAGTCAAATTTAATTCAATCACAAGATCAAGTCCAGCTAAGTTTAAGGTTACTTTCACACCTGTTTTTCCTATAATTCAGTTTGTGTTCAGACTAACTTATCAATCAAACTAAGATCTGTAAGATTGAAGTCATATGGGCTGAAAGGTCATTTTATTTGGCGACTGACATCCTGCATCATCAGCACTAAATGATCCCACGTGGGGAAATCAGATTGTGCAGACTGACAGCAAGTCATGCTGCACTTTACTGCACCTTTGGGTTTATCTGTCTTTATCATTAATAGTCCAGAACATATTCTGTAGAAAAAGCAAACTGTCTGATCTTAATGTTTCTCTAGTTTTGCCCATGTGCTGGTGCACACATGATGATTTGGCATGGACATACACTATACATCACTTACAGAAATCTAGAGATTACTCAAAGCTTCACCTGGTTACTTTTATGAAAAAAAAGTTTGTGTCACATTTGCCAAAACTGTCACTATATTCGGAAAAAAACAAACATGTCACTCCTCTTCCTTCTGCTTCCAATGGCATTTGCTACAATCTACCACAGTGTGCCAAAAACAACCAATCAGGGCAGAGGAGTCTGTAACGCAGCTGTCAATTATATCAATTACTGTTCATAAGCAGCGGTCAAACTAGACAGATCAAATATGAATCAAGCTTCTGTTACTACATTGCCTATTTCTCACCTCAGATGTTTTCAGAAACATACTTCAGTGCACTGTTTAGCTGTAAAATGAGATGGTTGGTCTGGCTTGTGGGCAGTGCTTGGTACTCCGGTCTATGGTATCCAACATGGCTGCATGGTCACAATCTTTCTCATTTTACAGCTAAACAGTACACTAAAATATGTTTCTAAGTAAACATTTGAGGTGAGAACTAGGCAATGCAGTAACAGAATCTTAATTCATATTTGATCAACGCTGCCTAATTTGACACTTTTACTGCAGTTCACGAGCAATGATTGACATGATTGACAGCTGTGTTAGAAACTCCTTGGCCCTGATTGGCTGTTTTGGGTGCGCCTGGGACATACTTTTTTTAACAGACTGTCTGACTGTGAGACTGTATTTCTGTGTGTGTGACAAAAAGTAATTTTCATTTAAATTACCAACTGCAGCTTTTGAGTTTCGGATGTTTAAAACTTTGGGAGACAGGATAAATGAGTTAAATGTCATGAGAATTTAACATAATTATAAAATGGCAACAGAGGTCTGGACACAAGTGCTACAGTTCATTAACTTCAAGATTCTGTCCTGTTTTGTCCTTGTAGGTCCGACTGGCCTTGCTGAGTCTAGACTACCTGCAGCTGAACGTGATGGCCAATGAGCTGGTGACAAACAACGCCATGTGCCAGTCCATGGTCAGAGAAGCTCATGACATCGTTGATCACTTCGGGGGAAACAGGGCCATTCTGTTTCATCTCTGCAACCCCCTTGTCCGTCCTCGCTTGCCTAAAGCCATCCTGTTGGCCATTGGAGGCTGGAGCGGCAGCAATCCAACAAATGCCATTGAGGCATATGATATCCGCACTGACAACTGGATCAACGTGACAAACTATGATGAACGTTCCCGTGCCTATCACGGTACAGTCTTCCTCAATGGGGATGTCTACTGTGTTGGTGGCTTTGACAGGGCGGAGCATTTCAACAGCGTGCGCAGGTTCAGTCTGAGCTCACGCACCTGGCATGAGGTGGCACCCATGTACTACCGCCGCTGCTACGTGAGCGTCACTGTGCTGAATGGGTGCATCTATGCCATGGGAGGTTATGATGGGTACACACGACAGAGCACTGCCGAACGCTACACTCCCGAGACCAACCAGTGGAGTCTTATTGCATCCATGCACGAGAGCAGGAGCGATGCCAGCTGCACAACACTCCACAACAAGGTAGGTGATTTGAAACCGATCTCTGTGAACTGCAGACAAACTGTCAAACTAAGCACAGCTAATATCTGATCACAGTATAAGTAGACATATATATAACATTTTCTCTTTGGTGATAAGGCAACATTGCACGTTTAATTTATCCTTCCAGTTTATTTCTCAGTTAGACGATAAGATTCCTCACTAGATGCCTCGTCTCAGCTGTAATTCACTCATTATCTTGCAGAAGTGTAGAAATAATTCTGTTATTTTTTTACCAGTTGAAGTCAAGAAAAATGCTCAATCACTAAAAACCCTTTCTATTCTCCCCAGATTTACATCTGTGGTGGTTTCAATGGGCATGACTGCCTGCAAACAGCTGAATGTTACCACCCAGAGACCAACCAGTGGACAATGATCGGCCTCATGACCTCCCAGCGCAGTGGAGTTGGCGTCACTGCATATGCAGACCATGTCTTTGCAGTAAGTACACGAAACTCAGCTGATGCTCCCATAACATACAAACTGTGTGAGGTGTTCAAAGATTTGGTCAGCAGTTAGATTTAACTCATAGACGCTTTAAGGGCAGGCGTTCTTTCTTTGACAAACTGCTTCCATCTCCATTTCAAACATTTGAGACTTTATTGTACTTTTCCTCCCAAAGGTTGGTGGCTTTGATGGCTCCGCCCGTCTGCGCAGCGCTGAGGCGTACAACCCCCGCACCAACACCTGGCATGAGGTGTCCGTGATGGTGACCCCCCGCAGCAACTTCGGCATCGCAGTGCTTGAAGATCTGCTCTTTGTTGTCGGGGGCTTCAACGGCCACTCAACCACCTATAATGTCGAGTACTACGACGCAACAACTAATGACTGGCATGTGGCCTGCGACATGGACATTAACCGCAGCGCTGTTAGCTGCTGTGTGGTGTCCGAACTCGACAACATCGTTGCCTACGTTTCACCTCGTGACGCCCTGCCATTTGTAGATTCGGAGGATGAGTGTGCTGAGTTTGAGTCAGGAGACTCTGACTGACACATCTGAACTGTGTCCTTTGCCAAGACCCACTCTGGCAAGACTTGAACATCATACAATGAAATAAATTTCCTTGAGCATTTAACTACTGTTGCTCCTGACATTTCTCTTTTCACATTGAGTATGAGAATGCTCAGTGAGAAGGTTACTGTGTGCAGCCTGCAGACACAGTAACCAAACTATGAAACTTAACTGTTGATTGTTATCTGGTAAGTGTGTATGCAGTGTGCATGCAGCCCTGCTGAAGACATTTTTAGGGTGTTAGCAAGTAGTTAGCAATGAAAAGGTCTGCCCCATTTAAGGCTCTTCTGAACATTACAGTTATGCATGATACCCTGGCATTAATAGGAGATCAAATGTTGTAATAGGCACAAACGTAGGACTGAATCAGATAGTAAAAATAAAGTGCAATTACATCAACATAAAATAATAAAAAAGACCACTATCACCATAATCACAGGTCTACCCTCCCATACCCTAACTCCACTCCTCCCACCTCCCTCCACCCACAGAGAACCATCACTCTTCAGCTGTTGTACAGTGTGTGCCCATGGTTTGGACTGTTTGGATTTTCCATGGCACATCTTATCCTTCCCAAATTGAGTGTGTCAGTTAAATCCTCTCGCCACGGACACAACTTTAATTCCCTTAGTTAGTGACATCAACTTGTCGCTCAACAAAGCACTCCTGCTGGTCACTCTGTGGTTATGTTTTATTTTTACATCAACTACAAACACAAACAGAACTAGTTACAGCGAAAGAAGGCGAGCAGCATACACATCCATACAGTTTAAGCTACCATTACATTGTCTCACAGATCCACTGGCTTCTGGCACTACAGTTGAAGTCGTTTAAGCCAATGAAATCCGTCATTGTGCGAATGTCACCACAGTCTTCTCCTCCAAACGCATCATCGGGCTGCCCAGGGGCCCAATTTAACCTACAGATGGAAAGAACACATGACAGAACCTTAACACTAGCTTTTTCCCCACCAGGGACAGCTTTGCGCGTAATGTTAATTCATTCAAATAAACACAAGAAGTTTGTGCTCTAATAAAAAAAAAAAAAGGGATCAGCACTCAGTGAATAATCCTCCTAAGCCCTACGATAAGCTATTATGGCAAGGCTTAACTATACAGACCCGTGAGCAGTGATAACTAACGTCTTTGGGGTCATCGGGTGGGAACCTCCTTTCACCGGTGTTTCGTCTAGTTAGTCCCACGACACCTCCAGGAGGCTAGACAGTGATCTCTGGCGTCCCAGAGACACTAATTATAGTTACTGTTCTTTTTCTGTACATAGTGTTTTTGATCATTTTGGTTGAAAGTGTGCTGCATCTTGGACCAAACCCAGCATTATTGAAGGGTGTGGAAAGTGATGTCACAGTGCACTGACGCACCCTGTAGTACACTTCATCTACTGCAGCAATGATGAGAAGATAAACAACTGGAGGTCAGCAAAATCACACTTTTAAACTGCTGCTACACTTGAAATCACCGCTTGATAAGCAGCAATGTCTCGCAAAAACACAACCACTTTTTTGGCACTATCCTGGCAACAAAACACCAATGTTTGCAGAGACTGGCCGCTAAAGCTCAAGCAATCAACCAACCAATCTGATTTGATTTAATATTGTCCTTCTACAAAGTCGAGGGCCTTGAGAGACAGATTAGTAAAAGCAAAGGTCAAACGCACTGAAAAAGTTTAAAACCTTGTTTGGATCAAGCTCCAAAAACAAACCCAATCCCCCCCCAAAAATTTTTTTGGCATTTTACTTTTCTGCAAACCACAGATACAATACATTATTAGATTTGGACATGAAAAAAAAAACACTCTCACAAAAAGAATATGTATAGCAGTGATGTCTTGGTAAAAAGCAACTGCTTTTCGTGGTGCTATCCCAGCAGGAAAAACAGTGAAGGAATGCTACAAACACCTGTTTGGTGCCTAAAAATCTGCTGGAAACGCAGCAATGACTCGCTAAAAAATAACTGGTTCTGCTGATATCGAACAGTGGTCTGCAGCTTGGTGGGCATCTCGTCTAAGTGACACACCATCCACCATCCCCTATAACATATTCCTGGTTTGCAGAAACGTACAATGCAAACATTTTCTTCTTGCCACTGGGCTGTGTTTTCCTTCCTTTCTCTGTTTCTCCATTAAATCAGTTACTTGCCACGGCAACAGACAGTATTTTGCACAGCTACAGTATCCTATCCACCACTGAAAACTGTAGAGTTAATGATCATCATTTATCGTAATAATGCCACCATTCGACAATGCCTAATATTTTATTGTGACTAAAGTATCGTGATAATATCGTTTCGTGGATCCTCTGGTGATTCCCAGCCCTACTAGTAAACCATATCTTTATCAATATCTCACCCGTCTTTGTCCACTGGTGTTCCATCCACCCAGATCCAAGTCCCTTCCTTCTCCCTGTCAGTCATACCAACCCACGCTGCTGCGGTGAATCCAGTGAGAAAGGCCTGTCATAAACCAACATTCACTTAATCAGCAGGCTCAAAACACACAGGGAACTACAGCATCACACACTGTTGACCGAGATATCTGAGATTCTGTTTTCCACAGAGCATTTGTACAGTTTAATAATGAGATATTCTCTCAGGCTATTTATTTAAAATAAACACTTTAGATGGTTTCTCAAATCAAGAGGAAGCAAATAAAGACGCTGTAAACACGCAGTGGGGTACGGGAATATGAAGGTACCTGTTCCTGCCTGCTGTTGATGATGACCAGGTCAGCGCCTCTCTGCATGCAGTCCTGCCGGCTGTCGTCCCAGCTCCTCCCCCTCTGTGAGGAAATGTAGTAACAACTGGAGCCGAACATCAGCCAGCCCTCTGGACAGAACTCTTCCTCTGTCTCACCTCAACACAGCAACAACACAGACAGCGTGTCCCAACATCACATGTCACAACAGGGAACATACTGAACAGAACAATCTCATGATGCAACAGAGAACAGGATGCTGCAAAACACAACAAGCCACAGAGCTGCAGAGGGTAGTGAGATGAGTGTAGGAGAAATCTATGTCGGACTTAAACCTTTAAAAGGTCTGTTAACCTACGAGGAAAACATTTTACTTTTTACACTATTTCAAGAAAGACATGTATATATTTAAAAATGTGATATCTCAATTCTGCAACACAAATTAAATTCCCTTGACCATGATTTATATTGGCAGACATTTCAAAGGCTGAGTGGACAAAACAAAGCTATATTCATGGCAACATACAGTACAGGCCAAAAGTTTGGACACACCTTCTCATTCAATGCGTTTTCTTTATTTTCATGACTATTTACATTGTAGATTCTCACTGAAGGCATCAAAACTATGAATGAACACGTGGAGTTATGTACTTAATAAAAAAAGGTGAAATAACTGAAAACATGTTTTATATTCTAGTTTCTTCAAAATAGCCACCCTTTGCTCTGATTACTGCTTTGCACACTCTTGGCATTCTCTCCATGAGCTTCAAGAGGTAGTCACCTGAAATGGTTTTCCAACAGTCTTGAAGGAGTTCCCAGAGGTGTTTAGCACTTGTTGGCCCCTTTGCCTTCACTCTGCGGTCCAGCTCACCCCAAACCATCTCGATTGGGTTCAGGTCCGGTGACTGTGGAGGCCAGGTCATCTGCCGCAGCACTCCATCACTCTCCTTCTTGGTCAAATAGCCCTTACACAGCCTGGAGGTGTGTTTGGGGTCATTGTCCTGTTGAAAAATAAATGATCGTCCAACTAAACGCAAACCGGATGGGATGGCATGTCGCTGCAGGATGCTGTGGTAGCCATGCTGGTTCAGTGTGCCTTCAATTTTGAATAAATCCCCAACAGTGTCACCAGCAAAACACCCCCACACCATCACACCTCCTCCTCCATGCTTCACAGTGGGAACCAGGCATGTGGAATCCATCCGTTCACCTTTTCTGCGTCTCACAAAGACACGGCGGTTGGAACCAAAGATCTCAAATTTGGACTCATCAGACCAAAGCACAGATTTCCACTGGTCTAATGTCCATTCCTTGTGTTTCTTGGCCCAAACAAATCTCTTCTGCTTGTTGCCTCTCCTTAGCAGTGGTTTCCTAGCAGCTATTTGACCATGAAGGCCTGATTGGCGCAGTCTCCTCTTAACAGTTGTTCTAGAGATGGGTCTGCTGCTAGAACTCTGTGTGGCATTCATCTGGTCTCTGATCTGAGCTGCTGTTAACTTGCGATTTCTGAGGCTGGTGACTCGGATGAACTTATCCTCAGAAGCAGAGGTGACTCTTGGTCTTCCTTTCCTGGGTCGGTCCTCATGTGTGCCAGTTTCGTTGTAGCGCTTGATGGTTTTTGCGACTCCACTTGGGGACACATTTAAAGTTTTTGCAATTTTCCGGACTGACTGACCTTCATTTCTTAAAGTAATGATGGCCACTCGTTTTTCTTTAGTTAGCTGATTGGTTCTTGCCATAATATGAATTTTAACAGTTGTCCAATAGGGCTGTCGGCTGTGTATTAACCTGACTTCTGCACAACACAACTGATGGTCCCAACCCCATTGATAAAGCAAGAAATTCCACTAATTAACCCTGATAAGGCACACCTGTGAAGTGGAAACCATTTCAGGTGACTACCTCTTGAAGCTCATGGAGAGAATGCCAAGAGTGTGCAAAGCAGTAATCAGAGCAAAGGGTGGCTATTTTGAAGAAACTAGAATATAAAACATGTTTTCAGTTATTTCACCTTTTTTTGTTAAGTACATAACTCCACATGTGTTCATTCATAGTTTTGATGCCTTCAGTGAGAATCTACAATGTAAATAGTCATGAAAATAAAGAAAACGCATTGAATGAGAAGGTGTGTCCAAACTTTTGGCCTGTACTGTACCTCTACAGGTAAATATGGATTTTTTGTGATTTTAGTAACTGGCCCTTTGAGTGTTGAGTGCTTCACATGGAACGTTGTCTTGTCAATAGACAATTGTGTGATATACTGCAGAAGTACAGAAACATAATGCATTTATGTAAGAAGAAAAATCTGTTTTTCAAGATAATTATCTAAGAATTATGAGGAAAGTCTTCATGGACAAAATTATCTGAATTAACAAGATTTTTACAGTATCAAAGAATTCTGAGAAAAAGGTATCTGTGGAAAAAATAATGTTTTGTCTTTCTGGATCAGTGCGGTTATTAAAGGTAACTTGCGAGACTCGAGAACAAGGAGTCAAGGAGTCTCGCGCGAGTTGCCGTGTAAACACAGCACGCCTGCAGACTAACTGACCACGGTGAGAAATGATGCTGTAAAAGTGGAGTAAATTACATCTTTTCAAGTCAATTTTGCATGCTGTGGCTTCAGGGCACTTGGATTACGACAGACGAGCCGCTCTGACGTTTTTGAAATGCAGAGTTTTATTACATTTTTAAAATGTGGGTTCCATGCACTTCAAGTGTATGGAAAAATCCAGCTAGCTGATTTGTAATATCAGAAATGTGGACTTTCACTTTGACTCATTTGAGAAAAATAAATCAAAAGAGGAAATAAGATAAAATGTTAAATGCGATGAAGACCTTGCAAATTTAAATTAAGACTATTAAATTACTTTTTAGGTCAAATATTTGTAAAATTAAACGAGACATTTTAATACTTTTAAAGGACCTGCAGATAGGGAACCAAAAGAGAACAGTTAAGAGGCATTAAAAGCAAAATGAGCTAAAAGCTGCACACAGCCACAGAGTCAGGTGTCTGTTTACCTTCAGCAGTGGGTTCAATCAGAGCAAGTCTCAGAGCGATGTTGAGAACCCCTTGCAGAACACACAGCAGGGCAAAGCTCAGGAGAACCACGCTGAAATGTTTTAGCTCTGTACAGCACAAACACACAGACCCCGTTAACCACAGACTACAACATAAACTATTTTAACCTGCTTAATAACCATAATGTTGACACTACTTCTGTGTTAAGAGACACATTTTAAACTTAAATAACCTCACATTCTGGATTACTTACTTGGTTTTGGGGTCTTCTCTTTAGCAGCATCCTCAGGTTCAGGTTTGGGGAATTGCTGATACTCACCAACTTCAAAGCTGACACTTGCCTCATTAGATTTAAAGAATGCAGCCATTTTGAAGCAGCTGCAGTGACAAAGTGTTTTCTGTCTGCTGCTGTGCAGCACTTTTAACACTTACACCTTTTCCTGTCAGTCACAGGTCTTCCTGTCTTGTGTAGAGGAAGTATTGTCCCATCAAATGTTTCCTACATAGGCAATATGGACTTGTTGATTCTTTGGCTATTTAAACACATTCATAAGAACATTTAAATTATTTATTTTATATATTTATTGTTAAAAAGTGGCATTTTTCAGAGAAAATCAGTGTACAAATATTCTGATTTCATTCTTCTTGACAAAATGTTTGTTCAGAATCAGAATCAATTTTACTTTATTAATCCCCAGGTAGCAAACTGTTATCTGTTACAGTCGCTCTGACATATATTGTAGAAAATGTTGATGAAGAGTAGTAAATGATGAAGGAGATCATAGTCAGAATGACTAAGCACTTAACTGCACCTGTTGCTGAAAATATGAGATGTTTGCTTTGTAAGAAAATGAGAAGTGTACGTCAGGAAACAAGAACGGAAAGATTAAAACTAGATGTATACTACTGTGAGATTTAACAGCTGTCACATTTTAAATAATCATTTGTATTAGTGTGTATGTAGTGTCCTCACATTGACTGTCTTCCAGCAGTTAGCAAAGATATTTGTGAGACACGATAACTGACGTGTCATTCTGTGTTTTGATTTCATAACCTTATTTCTGGGTTCAACTATCACTTGTTGGCGTGTAAAACCAATTCTTGACCAAAAGATACATGAGGAAATGCAAGAGTTGACATGATGGAAGACTTGTTTGTTGAAAGCACTCTGCTATACTAAAAAAATAGTGAACGCTCCTTTGTTAGTCAAAGAATGTTCTCTCCAGGCCTGTTCAAAGAAAAAGCACTTGATTGAATCATCAGTCTGTGTTCCCTGATCCCTTCATTTTACCACAGTAAAAACTCCACCTGTATCACTGCTAACTTAAACAGCGGGAAGATTTTTCACAATATTATAGAGAATTATAGCACAGTAGAAATAAGAAGTACAAAAATAAGATGTAAAAATGTATGTGCTTTATGCCCCAATGTTCAACACTACTATGTGTTAAATATACATTATAGTTTAAGTGAGAATACATTAGGATACTAAAAAGAACATTGCACAATTGAATAATCACTTCAGAGTATTGTGCCATTTTAATTATTGCACAGTTACTACAGTGATGCACAGAATTATAGAAATATTGTACTTTATGTCAGGGTGAGGGTTTGGTAATTGAAGAATCTTAATATAGGTTTATACACAACTGTATTATCTGCATTTTATGTTTGCAAATTTAAAACTCAAATGACACAATTTCAATGCAATTCTAAGCCTCACCCTGAAATTAACCTAAACTTCAAACTCAGCATTTTTCCGTTTGAATGATTTCATGATGAGCCAATTAAATCAAATCAAATCATGATGTCTCTCTAGGTTTCCTGACTGCCAATCACTTCTCGCCTCATGCAAGTTTCAAGTTTCAGCAAAGCAACTTAATATTCACTCGTTTGTTTTGTCTTTTCGCTGTGTGTGTATGTGTGTGTGTGTGTGTGTGTGTGTGTGTGTAGAAATGTCCTGTTGAGCAAAGGTTGTGGAAGCAAGTGAACACAACAGCAGCTTTACACAACAGCGTGACAGAAACATGTTGGACAAGAGAAACGTGGCTCAGACTACTGACGTCAGTCTTACACAAAGACGTTTATTTCCCACTGACACAGCTCATCAAATGGGGAAAATATTGACATTTACAAAGCGTTCTGGTAAAAAATACAGTACATATACAGTATCACGTACAAGTGACGGTGACTTTCACATCCTAACAGGACGCATCAGCTGATTATTTTTAACAAATGCCAAAGCACATGACGTTCTTGTAGGTCGACAACACATGGAGCTGCAACTGAACAACAGTTCTTTTCCATAGTTGAATTTTTCAGATCATAAAACCATCATATACATTTCCATTTTTTTGTAGACTTTATGAAGGCAACCAAAACTTACAAATGAGACTAGGATCAGTAGAACACTTTTCAAAAATCACTAATCAAAACTCACTTTTTCAGAACTGCTTTTAATGTGTGATAATATTGTGTGTATACGACTTAAAACACTTTCTGTCCTTCACACGGCCGAGTAGCGCGCCTGAGCATGCGCATCTGCTAAAGCAGAGCTCATACGCATGTGTGTGGTCAGGTAAGCTACTCATAAACCAAAGTGTTTCAGAGAAAATGCAGGTTTGTGCAGAGCTGAGCATACGACTGGGTAAATGAGACTTGGATTTTTGCTGTTGTTAAATGTGGTCCCCAAGAACTTTAATTTATGAAGAATATTCGCCATTTTTTGATTCTCCGTTCATTGTGTTTCACTTCACAATAAATGGCAGCCTGACACTTCTCTGGTGTTTCAGTGCGTAAGTGACATTTGATGAAGAATATGGTCACATTTAATTGGAATATAAAAAATAAAAATACCATCTTGATCAGGGGATACTTTCCCTCAGATGGTAAACAAATGTCTGCAGCTGTAGGAAAAATAAAATAAAATTTAAAACTCAAAAACCCTGCAGTGGCAGAATATGTGGTTGGTCACAGCACATCACTGGGCTCCACCAGCTATATTAGGTAAATGTTTTACTTTATAATCAGTGACTGTACAGCCTAATGAGCAGTGCTAACAAGCAGAGCCAGTGATTGATACACACGGACGATTTGCCCAGCTGTCCCGTCTGACAGCCTACAAACACATGACACATTCCTCTAACGAGAATAAACCAAAACATCAACTCACCAGCAGGAACTCGGGTTCGTGTGTTCATATACAGAGGCCATCACTGAGGAGGAGGTGGGGGCGGTGGTGGGGGAGGCGGAGGAGGGAGGTCAGAGAAGGGGACCGAGTTTGGCGGCCAGAGATGAGAGGAGAAAGACGGATTGAAGTACGAGGGAGGAGGAGGGGGGTACAGAGGGAAGTTGGGTGGAGGGAAAAGGTGAGGAGGTGGAGGGTAAGGGCAGGGAGGGGGGAGGTACATGGGAGGAACATGTGTGTGTCCAGGCGGTGGGTGTGCGTGTCTGTGTGGAGTGGCTGCATGGCTGAAAGGTGGGTGTTTATTCCTGGGGTTCTGGTGCCTGGGCGGATGTCCTGCGTGTCTTGGTGGGAAACCCCTGACATTACGCTGCTGGTGCAAGGGGTTCTGGGTAACGTGGGCAGGATTATCTGGAGGGAAACAAACACATGAATAAAGTAAGAAAAGGAAGTAGGAAGGTTTATTACTTTCAACTATTATCTTATCACGTCAATTACAGTCTTCAGTCTGACATACAAAATCAGGGGTGGGAATCTTTGGGCACCTCACGATTCGATTACGATTCAGGGGCTACGATTCGATTATAAAACAATTATTGATGCATCTTTAATTTATATATATTGATGCACTTTTTCACAACACACATTTCTTTTTGTCTCACTGAATAAGCATTCAACACTTGCAATTTTTAAAAACAGTGCATTTGTAATAAGAAAGAGTTGAATTCATTTCCATTATATTTTATTAAACATATAAATGGAAATGCTTGCAAACTGGAAAGTTACAACTTCGTTGTATGGAACCAAAGGTAACAACAAGTATTTTAAATCACAAGATAAAATGCGCAGTTAGAGTAACAAATGATTCGGTGGCGACAGACGTCCACGCATCACATGTAACTGCGTTCCTACCTGCCTGCCTTCAACAGTGAGGCCATGACTTCTGTTTTGGTTTGGTTGTAGAGTGTCGGTGAAATAGCGTCGGGATGGGATGGTGTATCTGGGCTCCAGTGTACGCAGCAGTGCTCGAAATCCCTGATTTTCCACGACGGAATAAGGACGCAAATCCTTGGCAATAAATGCCGCGATGGCCTTCGTATTTCGCTTCGCCTTTTCCGATGAGGGTGGCAGCTTTCTAATTGCTTCCTCGATTGTTCTCTGGTCAGTAGCGCCACTAGTTGCCGCAGCAACAACAGCCTGCCGTCTCCCTGACTCCTCCGTCAGGTGGAATCGAGTTACATGGCTTCTCATGTTTGTTGTGTTGCCAAAGTATTTTATTTTAGCACGACACAGCTTACATATAACGTGGCTCTTGTCCAGTTCGCTTCCGCCGTCAACGTTGTAGAAGCCAAAGTATTTCCACACATCTGCTTTTAAATTAGAAGAAGCTGTTCAGCTCTCACGGCGAGGTGGGTAGCGGTCAGCCATGTTTGTTTTCCTCTGTGCGCGTGTCGGCGTGTCTGCTCCAGGTGCGCATCCCAAAGTGTCCCGGAGATGACACGTACTGCGCTTCTTAGTTCCGCATTATTTAGAACCTTCTGTATTACTCTAATAAACAGATTTAAATAATCGAAATTTGGACGTTTGTGAATCAATTCAGATTCGTCCACGTCCGAATCGCGATGCATCTAAGAATCGGAAATTTCCCCCACCCCTATACAAAATACACTTCCTGTATGTGTCTGCAAATACCTGCACTGTTATTGTCCTTCTTCTTTCTGGAGTTTTTCACTTTCTTCTTCGCTTCCTGTTCTTTCTCATCATCACTATAATCCAAAGCCTGGGGAGAGAAGAGAGAGAGTGAGCGCGACTATTTCATAATAAAGCAAACACAGCAATCTTTTTGAGCGTAGTGGAAAATATATATTAAGTTCCCAAAGTCAGATGGGTCTTAAATATTTTGGCTACCACCATTGTTTTCTTTCGATTTACTCATTTTAGAGGGATAGTTTGGATTTTGAAATCAGGTTGCATGAGATATTATCAACAGTCAGTGTATTACATACAGTAGATGTCGGTTGGCACCCCCCCATTTGATGAAGAGGCAGCAGGATTGGCGACACGGAAGCTGAGCAATGTACTGCTGTGGAGGGAGGCAGCAGCAAAGTGTTTTTCAGCCACCCTAAATAAATCTACAACAGTTAAAGTGGATACTACACTCAGGGTATTTTTACCGCTTTAGCTTTCTGTCAGACAAGCCACTCTGACAGGAAAGCCATTAACAGCTTCAGTTCGCCATCTATGCATTCGTCAATACCACCAAACTCCATTGACAGAAACAGTAAGTTTGGCTCACTGAACACAGGAGCTGCTTGTCTGCGGCTGCCTTGATCATTTAGTTAGTTTGTGTTACTGTGTGACTCTGGTTAATCCAAACCAAACCGTTTTTAACATCAAAGTCCCACAGTAACACAAACAAAATGACTGACTGAGACCAGCAGCTCCTGCATTCAGTAATGTTAAATCACTGCTTTTCTCAATTGAGTCTGGCTTTGGAGAGAGCTATGTAGTTCAGCTCTTCATCTGAAATCACTGTCTGATGGAAAAATAAAGCAGTGAAAATATTCTAAATATACCACACACTTAGACTGATATTGATGTTTTTCAGGAGGCTAAAATAGGTGGCTTTAGTTGGTGACTCTGTGCTTCCGTGTCGGACTACTGCCTGCTTCTCTAAACTGCAAACTAATATGGTCATATACTGTGTACCCTGGGGAAATTTCAGGAAGGTGTGAACAATCAGATACCACCAAAGCCTACTGGAGGAACAGCAGTGCTTCTGTTGGCCAAATGATGCTTGTGTAAATAATTCAATGTTGTGATGCTGATATAAGTAAAAGCCTTTGCTGCAAAAAAGAAAATGGATCTTTGCACTTGTTTCTATGAGCTATAGACACAGCAGAGGCCACTGACAGTTGCAGCTTCATTTGACTGCACAGTTTTGTTCAAACATCCTCCGTCCTGCTCGAACACATTCGTGTCTATGTGCTTACCTCCTCCGGTGGTTCTTGGTCGTTCTTCCAGGATGCATCCGATCCCTTGAACCTACAGGAAAAGCATTTTCACTTTAACACACTAGTTTGGTTTGGTCAGAGGCAAACTTCACGTCATTGTATCAACAGGGCTCTACGCTGACTTATTCCCCTGAGGAGTACATGTGCTTCTTAATGAAAAAATGTAGGCCTACACAAAGAAATTTAGAAGCACAGTAAATGTTCACATTCTAGTATCTAGACCAGGGGTATTCAATAAAATTTTAGAAATGTCCAGTTACTGAAGTTTCCTCGCAGCAAAGGTCCAAACCTCATAATGTCTAAATTGCTAGATAGTGATGTCTGCATGTTTAACATTAACTTGTACCCTTTCAACCAAAACCTTTCTCTCACTTGACACCGGCTGCATCATCCCAGAAATCTCTTTTGTGATTGGTGCATTGCAGCTTTTGGAATTGCGGGACTTGTAATATTAGAACGAATGGCAGCAGGGGAAGAATGATTACAGTAGGTATTATCATTTACTCACACACTGTGCTTACAAATTTTTAATTTTTGTACAAAAAAAAATTTTTTTGTTATAAATGTATGCGAAATACTTGCACTGTAAAGCCCTGATCAAAAGTGATTATTTCCCAATGACCTAAATAAGTTATCATTCTATGTGTGTAACTTTAATATACTGAATGAAATATATATACGTCTGTGTGTACTTACAGTCTGAGCTGCTGTGTCAGGATGAAGCGTGTGTACTCTTTGATGGTCGGTGCGTAATAAACAGTCACACCCTCCGTCAGCCCTCTGCTGCTTATCTGCTCTGCAGAGTTAAAACGCAAAATATACAGCGGACTGGACACTGGACCAAACACCTCAAACACCTGGAACACATGAACAACAGAACATTACAAAACTAATAGAATGCAAACAAACAAATAAATGTTAACACTTGCAGGAAAGCTAAGTAGACAGAGGTAAAGATATTCATACAGACAGCCCCTGCTGGTCCACCCACCTTGCCAATAGCCACCCTGTAAGAGGTAAAGATGACACTGTCATCAGTCAGAGGGGGCGTGTCTTTCAGAGACTGGATGATAACTGCAGACAAAGAAGGTGTGGTTAAAGACAGAGCAGAGAAATACACATTAAAAGTCGCACTTATATAATTCATTACCTAAGACGAGCTGAGTGTTTCCAGTTCTTTAGCAATCAGACAGAAACGCTACAGCGTGACCTCAGCAAGAGTGTGTGTGTGCATATTTACCAAGCTGCTGTATAATACTGGAGACTGTTCCAACAGGCTGCAGTTCTGTATCCTCTGGTAACGACACACACACCTCCTCCACTGCTGGCAGCTCCTGCACACAAACACAATGTCAGCTTCTGGTTTGATTGTATAAAAGTACATCAATTTTGATCGTAGAGTTTAGAACATAATAGGAAAACAAGCAAATAACTATCTGGTAAAATGTCCAGTAAGATCCTTCTGCACTCTACGGCAGCTTGTGGTGACTGTTCAGAACTTACAAATGAGAACTGAACATGACAGTGTGTGAAAAAGGAAAGTATCTACTACACTGCAGTAGGACTTCTTTTCTGTTAATTTGCTCATAGCTGAGAGTGTGGGGTTTCCAGACAGCAAGTCAATGGGACTCCTTGCAAACTGATGCAATGACCCAAGCAAGAACAGTTGTCTCTGAGTGCCAATCCTTACAAAAACCTGCAAGATCTGTTTTGGGTTCTACTTTTAACTGAAAAGCTAAGACCGATGATTTTCAGTGTCAGTTCTACAGAAAGTGAAAACTGCTCTAACTTCTCATTGGTGATTGCATCCATTTCCACTGACAGCTCACAGCTTCAAAATAATGCATATTGCAACCCAGGATTCACTTCCATTCAATCTTGTACAAATATTATCTGTTAGATCACACAGAGTTTCATCAACAACTACAGTATGTAATGCTGTTTCATTCAGAGACTAGAATGACCACTTCTCGGCTGTATGCCTCCGCCATCCAGTCAAGTTACAGTTTACATCCACGTCTGTCCAGACTCATATGTAGCCATGACAGTAGACAATGCCTCAATTATGGATTTTTTCTGCAAAGAGGTGATCTATACAATCACCATAGTTTCAAGGTTGACAGTCAAAAATAGTATCACCAAATCAGAATCTGACCAAATGTCTCCCCTTCATTGAATAATAGCCAGAAAAATGTTGCAGAACATTATGTTGTCAAAACAAAATTAACCTTTGACCTTTTTAACACAGAAGTTAATCACTTTATACCATTTTATTCTGTTAGACGCTTGTGTGAAATGTGTTTTATGAAGTCACAGTGACCTTTAACTGCCAAATTTTTATCAGTTCATCCCTGAGTCTTCTGTCCTTTTCAACACGAAGGGAAAACAGGAACATAGTGAAAGCCCTCCATTTAGCTCTTCAAACATACAGTCACAGACTGACCTCGAGTAGGACTTCATCTCTGGTTCTGATGGGGGCTGGTTGGCTGAAACCCTCGTCATCGTCATCATCTTCAAGAATTGGGGCAGAGGGAGAAGAGGAGGATGAGGAAGAAGAGGAAGAGGAGGAGGAGGAAGAAGAGCTGTCACTGAGGAGAGGAGAGGAGAACCAGAGTCAGTCATTTGTTTCCAGTCTTGTACTGCTTCCTGCTTATAAATCTCTGACGCTGAATACAAAGAAGACTATTGGTGCCACTAGACTGATAACCAGCATGTTCAGTCTAAAAACATCACTAACAAGCCCTTTGTCAAATTGTTGTGTGTTAGTGTGTGAATACCTGTCTGAATCCTCTGACTCATCGTCATCACAGTCTTCTGTCTTGCACACAATGTCTAAAGAAAGCGTGGCTGCTGTTGAGTCTGTTTGCACATCTCCTGTTTCCTCTGGATGTGTGTGTGTATTTAATGATGTGTCTGCATTGGCAGGGTTTACGACAAGGTTTTCTAGTTGTGTTGTCATGGTGACCTCCATCTCCTCTTCCTCCTCCTTGTACACTGGTAACGTCTGTCCATCGTCCTCTGATGATTTTTCAGCCATCTGAAATGTACAAACATTTTAAATCTTTGAAGGCATGTCTGTAGGTAAACATAGAAGTAAAGGATCAACAAAACACACTTCTAATTGAGTCTTAAAACATTGTCTATTTCTTTTATCAATGTCTTATCAGACTCACCCTCTCACTCTGCCTGAGGCGTTAGTGCTATTAAATTATATTCAAACTTGCAAACTCTGTCCCAACCCAGAGGCGTCAATCCACTGTTTTCTGGCAGAGAGCCAATGCCTCAGATGAGAGTCAGCACCTCCAAATCTGAGGCCATGGTTCTCTGCCAAAAAATGTTGGACTGCCTCCTCTGGGTTGGGAGAGAGTTACTGCCTCAAGCGAAGGAGGTCAAGTATCTCAGGGTCTTGTTCACAAGTTAGGGTCAAATGGAGCATGAGATGGATAGGCGGTTTGATGCAGCGTCTGCAGTGATGCAGAAAGAGAGAGCTAAGCTAGAAGGCGAAGCTTTTGATTTACTGGTCCATCTACAGTACAGGCCAAAAGTTTGGACACACCTTCTCATTCAATGCGTTTTCTTTATTTTCATGACTATTTACATTGTAGATTCTCACTGAAGGCATCAAAACTATGAATGAACACATGTGAAGTTATGTACTTAACAAAAAAAGGTGAAATAACTGAAAACATGTTTTATATTCTAGTTTCTTCAAAATAGCCACCCTTTGCTCTGATTACTGCTTTGCACACTCTTGGCATTCTCTCCATGAGCTTCAAGAGGTAGTCACCTGAAATGGTTTTCCAACAGTCTTGAAGGAGTTCCCAGAGGTGTTTAGCACTTGTTGGCCCCTTTGCCTTCACTCTGCGGTCCAGCTCACCCCAAACCATCTCGATTGGGTTCAGGTCCGGTGACTGTGGAGGCCAGGTCATCTGCCGCAGCACTCCATCACTCTCCTTCTTGGTCAAATAGCCCTTACACAGCCTGGAGGTGTGTTTGGGGTCATTGTCCTGTTGAAAAATAAATGATCGTCCAACTAAACGCAAACCGGATGGGATGGCATGTCGCTGCAGGATGCTGTGGTAGCCATGCTGGTTCAGTGTGCCTTCAATTTTGAATAAATCCCCAACAGTGTCACCAGCAAAACACCCCCACACCATCACACCTCCTCCTCCATGCTTCACAGTGGGAACCAGGCATGTGGAATCCATCCGTTCACCTTTTCTGCGTCTCACAAAGACACGGCGGTTGGAACCAAAGATCTCAAATTTGGACTCATCAGACCAAAGCACAGATTTCCACTGGTCTAATGTCCATTCCTTGTGTTTCTTGGCCCAAACAAATCTCTTCTGCTTGTTGCCTCTCCTTAGCAGTGGTTTCCTAGCAGCTATTTGACCATGAAGGCCTGATTGGCGCAGTCTCCTCTTAACAGTTGTTCTAGAGATGGGTCTGCTGCTAGAACTCTGTGTGGCATTCATCTGGTCTCTGATCTGAGCTGCTGTTAACTTGCGATTTCTGAGGCTGGTGACTCGGATGAACTTATCCTCAGAAGCAGAGGTGACTCTTGGTCTTCCTTTCCTGGGTCGGTCCTCATGTGTGCCAGTTTCGTTGTAGCGCTTGATGGTTTTTGCGACTCCACTTGGGGACACATTTAAAGTTTTTGCAATTTTCCGGACTGACTGACCTTCATTTCTTAAAGTAATGATGGCCACTCGTTTTTCTTTAGTTAGCTGATTGGTTCTTGCCATAATATGAATTTTAACAGTTGTCCAATAGGGCTGTCGGCTGTGTATTAACCTGACTTCTGCACAACACAACTGATGGTCCCAACCCCATTGATAAAGCAAGAAATTCCACTAATTAACCCTGATAAGGCACACCTGTGAAGTGGAAACCATTTCAGGTGACTACCTCTTGAAGCTCATGGAGAGAATGCCAAGAGTGTGCAAAGCAGTAATCAGAGCAAAGGGTGGCTATTTTGAAGAAACTAGAATATAAAACATGTTTTCAGTTATTTCACCTTTTTTTGTTAAGTACATAATTCCACATGTGTTCATTCATAGTTTTGATGCCTTCAGTGAGAATCTACAATTTAAATAATCATGAAAATAAAGAAAACGCATTGAATGAGAAGGTGTGTCCAAACTTTTGGCCTGTACTGTACGTCCCAGCCCTCACTGATCATGAACTTTGGGCAATGACCGTAAGAATGAGATCGCGGATACAAGCGGCCGAAATGAGTTTCCTCTGTGGAGTGGCTGGGCTCAGCCTTAGAGATAGAGTAAGGAGCCTGGACATCCTGAGGGAACTTGGAGTTGAGCTGCTGCTCCTTCACATCAAAAGGGGTCAGTTGGGGCGTCGGTGGCTTCGTGGATAGAGCAGGTGCCCCATATACAAGGCTGTTGCCGCAGTGGCCCGGGTTCGACTCCAGCTTGTGGCCCTTTGCTGCATGTCATTCCTTCTCTCTCCCCCTTCAGGCTTAGCTGTCCTGTCAATTAAAGGCAAAAACGCCCCCCAAAAAAGGGGGTCAGTTGGGGTGGTTCGGGCATCTCATTGTGATGCCTCCTGGGCGCCTCCCATTAGAGGTGTTCAAGGCACGCCCCACTGGTGGGAGTTCCTGGGGTAGACCCAGAACATGCTTGGAGGGTCCCCAAGGAAGAGCTGGAAAGCATCCCTCAGCTTGTTGCCCAGCCCCAGATAAGCGGATAAACATGGGTGAATGAACAAACTCCATCTTAAATTGCCATGATGGTCTTGAGGGGTGTCTACAAGTATTAGATACTTACATTTAGATACGTACATTTAATGCTTATAAGGCATTTTAAAGATAAATTGTAGCCAAGCTTAGGACTGATTTTTTTTTTGCACAAATCATCTTTTTCCTATTCAAGCATCACAGGATAAATAAGTAGTATAATGTAGTAATCTACAGAGCTTGCTTTTATTTAGGATTATGGTTATTATAGTAAATTGGGTTAATCTAATTTACATTTTGCCAAGGGGTAAGTGCAAGTACAGTGTAAATTGACAGTATTAGGTTCAATGGTAAGTTTAAAGACTAGTAACATCAGATGTGGACTTCCATGCTTGACTGTTTTGACAAAATGAAATTAAAAGATGGATAAGGTGAATGACCTGCAGACACCCTGTCTTTGTGTAATCAAACTTATAATTATAAACCAAGGGATATAGAAGAGTTCTCAGATTATATATAAGGACCCATACAATGTTATAATACACTGTCCAACCAGAAAAACATGTCATCCTTAGTTTGCTGACTATAAAAAAAGTCTAAGTCTAAAGTCGGTGTGTTTAGTTATATGTTTACTAACACGAGGAGTAAACTGTAACAGCTTTCTCAATTTATAGCAAAACTAACGTGTCGGCAGAAGAAAGTGGGCAGGCAGCGTGACATTATAGTACGAACAACCCAAGATAAAAGATAGGCTCTGTTTAAGTGTACCGTTTGCTAATTTACATCCACGCTTGGGCCAGTCGGCTAACTAGCTAACAGGCTAACCACGGCTAACAGCGATTAATTTAAGTTATTAACCGGGCTAAAGAGCCGCGAGCCAGCGTGACACCGGATATTGCTTTTCAGGGAATTTCATAAACAACATGTCAACGAAGTAACTATGAGTTTGATGAGAGTAATACCTGTCTGTCGTAGAGGCTACTGAATCCGCGTTGCGAAGAACCTCATGAAACTCCTCACTAGCGTACCGTTAATCTCAGTGAACCGAACTCCTTCCGTTATCAACATTCAAAATAAAAGCTTCATAGTTGAGTGCGTAAAATCACTGCTGAAGTAGCACCAATTATAAAGAAAACAGACCGTACAATTAGACATTATGCTAAACAAAAATTTGATTAACTGTATCCTTTTCACAGCACACAGTATCTTACATTAATAAACACAATGAGTCGGTGTACGCAGTCATTTGACGATAGAAAATATGCTTCCGGTGTTATTAAAATCTAAAAATCATATCACATTGTGAATTACTATTCATTCCTGAGTTCGGAAAACTCTAAACAAAAACTCTAAAACTTATAGCAGATGGAATTGTCACATTAATGACTTTTTGCTGTATTTTTGCAGCACAGATGTATAATTTGTAGCGTACATCGCATACCTACATTTTATTCTGAAGGCAAAAGTCTTGAATTCCGGTGGTAATCGTTTTTCCTCTGTGAGCTTGACGCAGTTAAACCTTCATCCCAAAACGTGGGGCTATGTTTTTCCGGGTCTGCGCGTGGCTGTGAATAACGCTTGGGACAGGTGCACACCAAACCACTGGGTTACCTGTTCTCTCTAACTTGCTGTTATACAGCTTAATCAGTCAAGTCTTTATTTGTTGAATGCACAACGATTGCAGCGGAACAATAACTGCTATGAAATTCTTGTCATCCGGCTCCCTCCAACAATGCTACCAAAAAAATCTAGATAAAAAAAAAAGAAAAATATGCTAACAGACACAAACATAAATCACAAACTAGTACAGAAGTTAAATGAGTAAAAAAACATTATGAAAAGTAAACTAAAAATGTTGTAAAGGAGAATGTGTACTGTATTTCAACTGCCTTGTGTATTAACAGGTAGGCTGGCAGAAGTATTGTGAAGATAATGGGCACCAATGGGGTGTAAATAAAGTGTCATATAGTGATGAACTTGATAGCTCAAAGGTTCACGTCTTGTGGCCTGTGCGGTGAAGCTGACCCTGAGCCTGTGGGGTGGGACCTGATGCTGTGGTAGGCCCACTGTCCACTGGGAAGCAGCAGGCAGTGCAGTTTGTGGTTGGGATGATTGAGGTCTTTGATGATCCTGTTGACCTTCTTCTTGCAGTCCTGAATGTATTCATCCTGCATGGATGGCAACTACCGTAGCTGCAGGTTGATAATTGCATATACATCATTTCAATGTGTCTGGATTTCCAGCTTATGCTGTTGACACATTAGCTAAACTTTTAAAATGTGAAATATCAGTGTGATGCATATACTGTTCTTCAAATGAGGATGTACAGGATACAGGTAGAATTTCACTTTATCATATATGACCAGTAGGTGGCAGCAGAATCATTTTGAATTGATGTCAAGGGTACCGGTCACACAGAATCTGGCTCAATGTAAAGTGGAAAAAGGTTTGAATCTATTCATAAAATACAACTTTGTTCTTAAATTGGTCTGAATCAATATCATGTGATATTTGGATACAAATAGTTTATACTGCAGACCCTTTGGCTCCGAAACCACAAAGCTCTAAAAGCCCAACTTTAGTGTTTAGGTAATCGTGTTAAAATGATTGGCAGCATTCAATCTTAGATGATTTGCTGAAAGTGTACGATGAGTTTTCCTCACTGAATTCAACATACCTATAGTGGTGATAGCTTTAGGGATGTGGAGCATGTATTTCTGTGTGGTTGAGCAACAATCATTACCCAAGAACTATGTCATGAACTTTTGTTTTTGAATGCTTTTTACTTTAGAACAGCCAAACTGTGGTTGACTGTTTTTAAAATGCCTCAGTTTTCAACAAGCCCTTTCATCACCTTTCCTCGGCTGAATGTCTGTACAGTCTCTGTTGTAAAATGTTGAAAATTGGTGAGGCGATGACATTTCTAAATGCACTCATTTCTGTTTCTCAACAGCTTATACTATGTCAGAAATCCCAAATCAATTTCCTGTGTGGTGTCAAAAATGCCGAAGTGTTTCCCGTGCAACCAAGATTCCTTACTGGCCATCTTTTGTTAAGTTCTGTCAAGTTTTTAGATTTTTCACCTAGCGGCAGGGTGAAATAAATGCATCAGAAAATCAGCTGATGTTGGCCCCTGAATGGCCATATTGTTGCTGCGCTAATCAACTGGCAGCGGCTCAGTGCCACTGTTTCAGTTCAAAACCAGTTCACACATGAAACATCAAGCGACTCAGAGCCAGGCCGCTTTGTGCCAATCAGCGTTGCTTTTGAAAAGAAATCAACATAAATGTCCCCAGTCACAGCTTGGATTCTTATTTGCATGCACCAAAGGAGCTGAGAAATGTGCTATTGTTGTTGGTGTGTATGACTCACCTCCACAGAATGCTTTACTAGAATTATACTGGTGTGTGCATTCAAGTGCATGGGAAGTGGAACACCAATACGTCTTATTGAGACACTGCCTCTATGTCCTATGATATTTCCTATGATAACATTGTATGAGCCAAGCCTCTTATACTGATTCCCATTGTTCCACAGGGCAAAATAGAAAGGAGCCATAGCTGAGAAATCCCTGATGTGCACATTCAACGAAAACCTTGAAAACTTTTGTTTTGCTGCATTGAAAACAATTCAGCTCATTTATCCTGGTGACTCAAGACACTACGGAACATTACTGATTCATTTTTCACTGTGGTGTCACTCATGGTCCTCTGTCTGACAATTGTTCAGCTCATCCCACCTGTTTTCCTCTGGGTTTCTCCAGCTGTCCAAACTGAAAAACAACACAAAAATGTATAAAAATAAAATGACGGCAGCCTATCAAGGTCACTGTGATATTGTCTTACAGAAATAGGAATGTAATTGTTTGAGGTCGTGGTTTATTAGTAGGAATATCCACAGAGGTTTCTCTGTTCCAACAATAAATGCCGATGTTTTTAACATTTAATCATTGTTTAAAAAAAGTCCAACATTTGAAGTTTTGAAGATCAACCTCACGGCAGCAATAACACACTGAAGCTTTATACATTAGTGAGGTTAAATGTGTCTTCTAACAGACTATTACATGCACTGTTTGTACATATACTGTACCTACAAAAGTAATGCACCAGAATTTGTGTATAATCCACATAATCGGGAATCTGATGTGATCACATGACCAATGCACTGACGGGAGGAATGAAGACAGTAGCATAAAGAGCGAAAGTCCACATAAGGAGGCAGGTTGGGGTGGTGGATGGATCAAATAAACACAGGACTTTCCCCCAGGAGACTGGTGTTTGTGTCTCGTGTGAAACCAAGTGAACTTTGACTTATTTTGAGATACATCATCACCATGTTTAAACCTAACCTACGCAACTTTACATTAAGTGGATACGTTACGTGATGACACCCAACCATGTGTCATTTTCTAAACCTAACCTATGCTACTTTTCTTTCCTAAAACACAACTTTACTTACCTAAACCAAATCTACATATAACGTTAAGTGCTTAAATTTACGTACGTAACGTGATGCCGCTCAACCATGTGTCTTTTTCTGAACCTAATCTTCGTGACTTTACTTTGCTAAAACATAACTTTACTTGCCTAAACCTAACCTATGTGGCTTTGCGTTAAGTACATAACTTTACGTATAGTATGTAATGTGGTGACGCCCAACCATGTATCTTTTCCTAAACTTAGCCTACAAAACTTTAATTTCTTAAATCTAACCTACGTTATTTAACTTGCCAAAACCAAGCCTACATAACTTTGCATTAAATACATAACTTCATGTTACAAACGTAACGTAATGACACCCAACCCTGCCCTTTTTCCTTAACCTAATCTACATAACTTTACTTGCCTACACCTAACCTCTGTAACTTTGTGTTAAGTACATAACTTTACCTTAAGTATAAAGCGTGGTGACGCCCAACCATGTTTCTTTTCTTAAACCTAGCCTACGTAACTTTACTCTTCTAAATCTAACCTACGTAACTTAACTTGCCAAAACCTAACTTACATAACTTTATGCTACATACGTAACGTGATGACGCCCAACCATGTTTCTTTTCCTAAACCTAACCTATGTAACTTTATTTGCCTAAACTTAGCCAACATAATTCTACTTTCCTAAACGTAGCCTACTTTGCTCAGCTAAATCTAAAATGCAGAACTTTACTTGCCTTAACCCAACGTATGTAACTTTACATTAGGTACACAACTTCACTTTAAGTACATAACATGAGGATGCCCTAAATTGTTAGATATCATACAAAACTTTGTATGTGCTTTTTTGTAAGATATCATACAAACTGTTGTATGAGGATACATTGCCTCTCAGCCTGAATCACAAGTGGGCCTGCAAAGCATCACATCTTTTTATTAAATCTGTGTTCATGCCTAAAGCTTTCCAGTCTGATTGGATCTTTTCCTGCATTTTCTTCTAGCTGACATATCGTAAAAGACATGTGGGTGTTTTGCTTGGTTTCAATACACGGAGAGATTTGTCTCAACAAATATTAGAAGGATTTTCATGAAATTTTGTACAGACATTCATGTTTACTTCAAGAACAACTAATAACTTTAGATTTCTTGAGCTTCTTATTTAGAGCAAACAGGTCAACACTTGAGCTCGTCCAGTGCTTGGGTTTCATGACTAAATGCCTGCAAAACGATGTCAAATTTTAACTAAGATGGTGACGATGCAAAACTGTACACACTCATTATGATAAGCATGTTTACAGTGTCATTAGTCAAGTTTCCATCAAAAGGTTACAACAATTTTAACAGAATTTTCAGAAAGTCTGCAAAAAGAAACATGATGTAATTGTTTCCATCCACTAATGCTATGTAAATATTAGTAGTCCATATCATAGAGATGAAAAGTTGGTTTTTTACTTCACCAGCCGGGTGCCATTTAACCATTGCAGTCCTGTCCTGTACATGATGACCCTCAACTCCCACCTTCCAAGGAATTTTTCATGCATCCATGGGGAGGTAAGGGATGTGGAATCCAAGAGGGCCATGTCCAAAGCCTCTGCTATGTAGGCGGCTGC